ACCATGAAGAGAAAGAGAGAGTGGAGCAACATCTTCCCAAAGCTGACAGAAAAAAAATGCCTCGCCCAGAATCCTTTACCCTGCCAAATTATCCATTAAGATATATGGTGAGATAAGGGTCTTCCAGGACAAGGAAAGACTCAAAGAATATATTGCAAGACACCCGACCCTGCAGAAGATACTGGCTAACTCAGTATGGCCAGAGGATCAACCTCCACCAAAAACAAACAGGAGACCACCCTATAGCCCATCTCCATCTAGAAGCCAACATTACCAGGACAACAGGGTCTGAGAGAGAAGAGAAGAGAAAAACTCTCCACTCAAACACAGCACACTGATATGAAGTGAGATAGGTAAACACCGAAAACACAAGACAGGGTATGACAACTATGAATCCACAGATAGTGATAATCACTCTGAATACCAATGGACTCAATTCGTACATTGAAAGGAAAAGGCTTGAGGACTGGCCCAGAAAACATAATCCATCAATCTGTTGCCTGCAAGAGACACATCTTAAGCACACAGACAAAAATATGCTAAGAATAAAAGGCTTGCAGAGTATACCAATCAAATGGTAACTCAAAAAAAAAGCAGGGATGGCTATCCTAATCTCCGAAAAACGGACCTCAAGATCCAAACTATAAAAAGAGACAAAGAGGGACACTACATAATGCTCAAAGGTTCAGTAAACCAAGAAGCAGTTAGCACATTGAATATTTACGCTCCTAATAATGGTGTGGCGAATTTCGTCAAACTGCTAAAAAGATGAAGAAAGAAATCATGGACTCAACAATCATAGTAGGTGACTTTAACACTCCGCTATCAGAGAAAGACAGATCATTGGGAAAGAAGCTCAGCAAAGAAGCCCATAGAGCTAAACAATGGAATTAGGCAACAGGGCCTGATAGACATTTATAGAGTTTTCCAACCAAATGCAAAATAAATCACATTCTTCTCAAGCCCACATGGATATTTTTCAATAGACATATGCTGGGACACAAGTCAAGCCTGAGTAAATTCAAACACGTCGATATTCTCCAGACGTCTTTCTCAGATCACCATGCCATAAAGCTGGAGATAAATAAGAGGACATCCAGAAAAGCAAGGGCAACCAATTGGAGGAAGAACAACTATCTCCTGCGACATGAATGGGTACAGGCTCAGATTAGAGAGGATGTTAGGAAGTTTCTAGAAACTAACGAGAACGAGAATACAATGTATCAAAACTTATGGGATGCTGTGAAGGCAGTTATCAGAGGTAGCTTGATGTCATTAAGTGCATATATGAAAAAAGAAGAGAGGCTTATGACAGATATGTTAATACAAAACCTCCAACAATTAGAACAGATTCAGCAGAACCCCTCCACTATCAAGAGAAAAGAAAAATAACCAGGGCAGAGTCAAACCAGTGGGAAGACAAGAGAACAATGCAAAAGATAAATGCAGCTAAAAGCTGGTTCTACAAAAGGAT